TCTAAGTACATTTATCTTACATTTGGAGGTGTGCAGCTTCAAGATGATAAAAATTTAGTACTCTTCAAGATGTTAGCTTTTAAAATTGATCCTCGTTTTGATCAAGTTATTACTGTAAATTATTCCTGAAGTTCATCCTAAATTGATTTTATTTCATTGTATATCACCATTATTTTATGTTGAATGTTTCTGATAATTATCCCCCGCCGATGGAATCGGGAGGGGGATATAGTTTTGGCGTTGTCCGTCCGTCCGTCCTTCTGTCCATCCGAATTTCGTTTCCGGAGTAGTTCTCTGCAACTACTGGCTGGAATTCAACGAAACTTTATGGGAATCATCAATATCAAGAGGAGATGCACATATCGTCGGCTTGTTCCGGTCCGACCCTTTAACTCAGAGTTATGGCCCTTGATTAGTAAAAATCGTTTCCGCGCTACTTCTCTGCAACTACTGGCTGGAATTCAACAAAACTTTATGGGAACCTTCAATATAAAGAGGAGATGCGCATATCGTCGGCTTGTTCCGGTCAGACACTTTAACTCAGAGTTATGGCCCTTGATTAGTTATGCAATATGCATATGGAGTAAAAATCATTTCCGTAGTAGTTCTCTGCAACTACTGGCTGGAATTCAACGAAACTTTATGGGAATCATCAATATCAAGAGGAGATGCGCATATCGTCGGCTTGTTCCGGTCAGACCCTTTAACTCAGAGTTATGGCCCTTGATTAGTTATGTAGTATGCATATAGAGTAAAAATCATTAACGCTAGTTATGTAGTATGCATATAGAGTAAAAATCGTTAACGCGCTACTTCTCTGCAACTACTGGCTGGAATTCAACGAAACTTTATGGGAACCTTCAATTCCAAGAGGAGATGCGCATATCGTCGGCTAGTTCCGGTCAGACACTTTAACTCAGAGTTATGGCCCTTGATTAGTTATGCAGTATGCATATGGAGTAAAAATCGTTTCCGCGCTACTCTCTGCAACTACTGGCTGGAATTCAACGAAACTTTATGGGAACCTTCAATACTAAGAGGAGATGCGCATATCGTCGGCTTGTACCGGTCAAACACCTTAACTCAGAGTTATGGCCCTTGATTAGTTATGCAGTATCCATATAGAAAAATATTTGTTTCCTCGCTACTTCTCTGCTTCTACTGGCTGGAATTCAATGAAACTGTATGGGATACTAAGAGGAGATGTGCATATTGTCGCCTTGTTCCCGGTCAGATACTTATAACTCAGATTTATGGCCCTTGATTAGTTATGCAGTATGCATACATCTCATTGGCATTTCCAGATTTTACTATTTAACACAAAATTATGGCTCTGTTATTGCCCTGAATATTTATCAAGTTCAAAGAATATTACTGTTTATGCCATGATTTATATATAAATAAAGCCTTATGTCTTCAGTTTTTGTGTCAATAATAACCAGTACTCGGCGGGGGATATAAATTCAACGAATTTGCTTGTTGCTATTGCTTATGTTTATTTTCAGTAGTAAGAAATTCTATTGAGAAGTTTTAATTTTGCCTATTAGTCTATATACAATGAAAACATCTTCAACTTATGCCAAACAGAAGTTTCATATGGCCATGAAAACAAAATCAGAATTATTTTACTTTGATTCTGATTTTTCTGCCTTTATAACAACCAGTTGTTACTTCGTTTTTTCTCTATTTTTTATGTTATATTTTAAGATGATTTATTTTTTCTACAAATGCTATTAATCAGACATATTGTTAGAGATAGATCTATTTTTTATATCACAAAACTTTTAAATTTGAAATTTTATTATTTTAAGATGCTCACAGTTTTTATATAAAATATTGAAAAAATAAAGATATTTACATTTATTTGTTGTGTTGTTATAATTCACTGTTGATATTTTAATCCTGACCATTCTGAATTCATGTAATAGACATTTGGAATAGGTCATTGGTAGTTTTGGGGAGTTTGATTAACCCAAGACTGAGCAGCATACATTGTTGTGTTATTTAGTTTAGTCTGCTTTTTTGTAAGCCTCCAGGCTTTAAACTAGGAGTATAGGTATGTGCATAACAACTGATCTTGCTCAGTAAATCTTTAATACATTACATGAAAATGAATTTGTCCACCTTTAAATCTGGACAAAACAATTCATCATATTTAATCATATGTATCAAAAATTTCAAAAACTACACTGAATAGCGAACCTTGATGATCAGGTGGCATGGATGTGCTAGCTGATCTTGGTCTGTAACTGTCTTTCAAAGTACATGTACATGTAGAATCAGTTGACGCAAGCAGGTTAAGGGATAGGTCATGTCAAATTCTTAAGCATCTAAATAGCAAGCATTCTTGAAACAATATTTGTAAGATATTTTTGATATGTAGAAACAGCATAGCACTCAACATGAGCAACATTGCAAGTTGTCTGAAACTGCTCATTCAAGTTGTCATGGAAACTGATGCCATTATAATAAATTGCTCAATACAAAAACTCATGAAAACCGATATCTAACTTACAGCTCATATTCTGACAGTCATTTAAATTGACACTGAACATAGGAACCTCTCAGTAACTTTACAATACACAGTTTTTAGAAATAATTTATATGAATACTATTATAAAATATAAAATCAAAGACTCAAAAACAAAAAATATAACAGATATAGCTTTTATTTTCAAATTTACCAGCTAAACATAAATAATGAACATTTAAAGAACATATAAAATTAAAATTACAATCTATTTACATGTACATGTAGATCCATAACACAAAAATTACAGGTATAAATCATACCCAATTTGTATCCTAAACTTGTAAATCACTAAGAAAAAACAGATAAATTGTTGATAAGGTGTAAAAAGTAAGGTGTTAATTCTTGCTGTACATAATTATTAATATGAAAATTAAATAACCTATTTCAGGAGTATGATTACAGACCTGTGTGCGAGGTTTAGAAAGGGTTACCTGTACAACAAATAATTATGCAAGGCCAATTTTCAATAATTGACTAGACAATAGTATATAGTTTGGTTAAACTGAAGGCTGGCCTGACAATAAACTGTATAAATGTAACAGCTGACCATACAATAAACTGTACAGACGTACAGGCTGGCCTGCCAATAAACTGCACAGACGTACAGGCTGGCCTGCCAATAAACTGCACAGACGTACAGGCTGGCCTGCCAATAAACTGCACAGACGTACAGGCTGGCCTGCCAATAAACTGCACAGACGTACAGGCTGGCCTGCCAATAAACTGCACAGACATACAGGCTGGCCTGCCAATAAACTGCACAGACGTTACAGGCTGGCCTGCCAATAAACTGCACAGATGTACAGGCTGGGTACAGCTGAGCATATGATAAACTGCACAGATGTAACAGCTGGCCTAATAAAAAACTGCACAGATGTACAGGCTGGCCTGCCAATAAACTGCACAGACGTACAGGCTGGCCTGCCAATAAACTGCACAGACGTACAGGCTGGGTACAGCTGAGCATATGATAAACTGCACAGATGTAACAGCTGGCCTGATAATAAACTTCACAGATGTAACGGCTGGCCTGACAACTGTAATGATGTACAGACTGGCCAACTACTTGGTTTATATTGAATTATGTAAGTCATAATAACTGCTACTATATAAAGTGAACATATATGTTTACTTATGAGTAATTGATACAAAATTAAGTTATATAAAATCATCTTCCAATGCAGAGATTGTTCATTTCGGGAGACGCTCAAAATCCCCTTGATCATAATCCCCTTGGTTGTTAAACGACATAGTGATCGAAATCCCCTCAACAGAAATGACAGGGTTATCATAATCCCCTTGGCAAAAATAAAGGGGTGGTCATAATCCCCTCAGTGGGTAGTCAAAATCCCCTCAAATAATGTGAAATGGTTGGGAAATTTCTTTTCTTATTTTTCTTTTTAGTTCAATGAATTTAAGAACCAACTGCTTCAAGAATTGCTGAAAAAAAAGAGAAAAGCATACAAACAATTAAAAGGTGTATGTTTGTCACAGCCAGTTAATAATGACACCCTTTATTGATGTTATTATTGCTGAGAAAATTGTAAAATACAAACAAATAAATGATCATCTACAGTGTCTGGTTGAGTATTTTGACTCCAACTATGTAAATGGATCCTTTCGCGCAGTCATCACTGCTAATGGAAATATGAGGTTCCGACGCTCCTCTCCAAGATTTCCTCCACCAATTTGGAATGTGCACAGTGCCACAATGACTGACCAGGATAGAACAAATAACCAGTGTGAATCTTGGAACAATGGGTTTAAGCACCTTGTTGGACATTCAAATCCTTCACTTTGGACAGTTGTGCAATGTGTTGAAAAGGATGCAAAAATGGTGGCAGCTGAAATTCTGAGATGTAATCGTGGTGAACTTCTACAGAAACGAGTGAAGAAGGCCACTAAAGCTCACCAGCAGAGACTGAAAGTTTTGTGCTCACAGTACGCAAGTGGCATTAAATCCCTTGAAGACTTCTTGGGTGCTCTGGGACAGATTATCAGAATAAAATAATGTCGGTGCTATGTAAATTCTGTGAATGTGCTAACATATGTAAAATGTGCTGTCAGAAAATAAATAAGAGTGAAATATTATGTCTGGTTTTATATTTTATATTAACATGAAAATGACAACATTGGAGTATTTAAAAATAACCTGTATTATATTGCTAAAGTATACTCCATACTCTTTCCTCTACTCAATGTAACTGCTGTTTGCAACATTTCTTTATGTAACACAATAGTTTAGCTGGAGTGACAAAAGATCAAAGGAAAAAGAATATTGAGTAAAGGGGGTTGTTTTTCACAAATTGAGGGGATTTTGACCACCCCATCATTTTTGCCAAGGGGATTTTGACTATCCATCAAGGGGATTATGAACACCCGGTCATTTCTGTTGAGGGGATTTCGATCACTATGTCATTTTTCAACCAAGGGGATTATGATCAAGGGGATTTTGATATACATTCTTCATTTCAGATTAATGTAACTTAAAAAGAAATTCTGTAGATCCAAACACATATTTTGTATTTATAACTAGAAGAATAGTGCCTTGGAAAAACTAAATTTCCTAATTTCAGTTTAAACTTTGTGCATTTAAATAATTATTATTATATCCTTCCTTTGCTGGAATATTGCTTTTCAGCAAAGAATCTCAAGAACAAGAATCATCTGAACAACGGCAGCTGTTTATCATATAACATTATTCTTTTCCTTGTTTATGTTCAAAGGTCAAGTAACTGAAAAAGAATTAAAACATTAAATAAGACCAATTTCAAATCTACAATCATGGAAATTTGCAACAATCTAAAAGTAATTGCTTATATATAACTCTAATAATCTAACAAAGTAAAATATTTAACTATGATTATGGTAAGTCTATTTTCTGGGTTTAGACAGACATTGACAACAAAAGATGTAACAAAGGAACATGAGCAAATAATTAAAAATTGGATATTGGTGTAATTTGGTTAGCCTCACTACCTATTTCATATATAAATTCTTGTCCAAGATTCATAACAATCGGACCAACCAGTTCTAAGATAGGAATCTGTACAAACAGATAAAAAGACAAGACAACACAATTACAACATCACCTTTTAAGTAGGTTTGTAAAAGTTTTGCGATGATTTTGTGTATGTGCCAATCACTCTAAAGGAAAAATACCAACTTATTCCTTTCACACAGACATTCTGGTATTATTTGTTTTCAACTAGAACTCCGCAAGTTGGATGTGTCGCCTTGTGAACAATATAGTTTAGGAGAATTTATGGCCAGGACAAAAATAAAGAAAATAAAGAAGTGCAGGTACCGTTTCCTGTACACTGCATTTTTCTTAATGAGATCTATCATCCTATGAAGTTTAAAGACCATAGCTTTTATACTTTAGGAGAAATGGCCTGGACAAAAATAATGTATGAAAATTAACAAAAGGCAATAACTCAAAAAATTAAGAAATGCAGAGTACCAGTTCTTGAGCACAGGACTTCTTCTTAATAAGATCTATCATCCTATGAAGTTTCATGTCCATAGCTTTTATACTTTAGGAGAAATGGCCTGGACAAAAATAAAGTATGAAAATTAACAAAGGGCAATAACTTAAAAATTAAGAAATGCAGAGTACCGGTTCATATGCACTGCACTTCTTCTTAATTAGATTTATAATCCTATGAAGTTTCAAGTCCATAGCTTTTATACTTTAGGAGAAATGGCCTGGACAAAAATAAAGTATGAAAATTAACAAAGAGCAATAACTCAAAAAATGAGAAATGCAGAGTACCAGTTCTTGTGCACTGTACTTCTTCTTAATAACATCTATCACCCTATGAAGTTTCAAGTCCATAGCTTTTATACTTTAGGAGAAATGGCCCGTACAAAAATAAAGTATGAAAATTAACAAAGGGCAATAACTCAAAAATGAAGAAGTGTACAGTACCGGTTCTTGTGCACTGCACTTTGGGTCATTATCAGAAGCATGCATACCAAGTTTGAAGTCAATCCGACTTATAATGACTGACTTATGCTCCGGACAAGCTTAAGGGGACGCGGACAACGCCGACAAAAGTGACCCCTGTATGTTGCCTTTTTCAAGGCGACACAAAAATCAAACAAAAAATTTGTAAACTGCAGGCAGCAGAAATATACAGATATAGCTTTATACACTATACAAGTATTCAATTTAAAACATACCAATTGTGGAAGAATTTTTTCAAATTGTTCCAAACTCAGTTCAACATCACCATCTTTCTGAAAAGGAAAGAAACAAATAAAACTCTTCAAAATATAGAAATGTACTTCAAAAGTTTCTAAGTAATGAATGCACCGTGATAATATTCTTCCCATTGGTGAATAGTATCTCCATGTTGAAGAAAAACTAACTTCTGATTATCAAAAAAGTGCAGCTACTTCAGATATTCTTGAAAGGATTATCATAAATTTTTTATTCATAACACTTGTCTTGTTGTTTCATTTTCTGTCTAATCATTTTTATTAGCTCACCTGTCACAAAGTGACAGGGTGAGCTTTTGTGATCGCTTTTCGTCCGGCGTCCGTCCGTCCGTCGTCCGTCCGTCGTCCGTCCGTCCGTAAACTTTTACTTTAAATGACATCTCCTCATAAACCACTAAGCCAATTTCATCCAAACTTCACAGGAATGTTCCTTTGGTGGTCACCTTTAAAAATTGTTCAAAGAATTTAATTCCATGCAGAACTCTGGTTGCCATGGCAACCAAAAGAAAAAACTTAAAATATCTTCTTTTAAAGAACCATAAGAGCTAGAGCTTAGATATTTGGCATGAAACATCTTCTAGTGAGTGTCTACCAAGTTTGTTCAAATAAAAGCCCTGGGGTCAAAATTGGCCCCGCCCCGGGGGGGTCATTGATTTTCCCTATATGCATATAGTAAAAACTTAAAAAATCTTCTTTTAAAGAACCCAAAGAGCTAGAGCTAAGATATTTAGCATGAAACATGTTCTAATAGGTGTCTACCAAGTTTGTTCAAATAAAAGCCCTGGGGTCAAAATTGGCCCCGCCCCGGGGGGTCATTGATTTTCCCTATATGCATATAGTAAAAACTTAAAAATCTTCTTTTAAAGAACCCAAAGAGCTAGAGCTAAGATATTTAGCATGAAACATGTTCTAATGGGTGTCTACCAAGTTTGTTCAAATAAAAGCCCTGGGGTCAAAATTGGCCCCGCCCAAGGGGGTCATTGATTTTCCCTATATGCATATAGTAAAAACTTAAAAAATTCTCTTTTAAAGAACTCAAAGAGCTATGGCTAAGATATTGAGCATCAAACATGTTCTAATAGGTGTCTACCAAGTTTGTTCAAATAAAAGCCCTGGGGTCAAAATTGGCCCCGCCCCAGGGGGTCATTGATTTTCCCTATATGCATATAGTAAAAACTTAAAAAATCTTCTTTTAAAGAACCAAAAGAGTTAGAGCTAAGATATTTAGCATGAAACATGTTCTAATAAGTGTCTACCAAGTTTGTTCAAATAAAAGCCCTGGGGTCAAAATTGGCCCCGCCCCGGGGGGTCATTGATTTTCCCTATATGCATATAGTAAAAACTTAAAAAATCTTCTTTTAAAGAACTCAAAGAGCTATGGCTAAGATATTTAGCATCAAACATGTTCTAATAGGTGTCTACCAAGTTTGTTCAAATAAAAGCCCTGGGGTCAAAATTGGCACCGCCCCGGGGGTCATTGATTTTCCTTATATGTGTATAGCAAAAACTTAAAATCTTCTTTGAAAAAACCCAAATAGCTAGAGTTTAGATATTAAGCATGAAACATCTTCTAGTAAGTGTCTACAAAGTTTGTTCAAATAAAAGCCCTGGGGTCAAAACTGGCCCGGCCCCAGGGGTGTCATTGTTTTTAACTATATGTGTATAGTAAAAACTTAAAAAAATCTTCTTTTAAAAAGCCCAATGAGCTAGAGCTTAGATGTTTAGCATGAAACATCTTCTTATGGGTGTCTACCAAGTTTGTGCAAATAAAAGCCCTTAGGTTAAATTGGCCCTGCAACGTTGGGGGGGGGGTTGGGGGCCTATATACAGGTGAGCGACCTCAGGGCCATCATGGCCCTCTTGTTCAAATATTATCATACATATCATGAAACCATTATTGTTACTTTTTTTGTAAACTGTAGTGTAAATTCTTCAACATCCAGCTGCAATATATTTTAACTCATTTGAGCCGTGTCATGACAAAACCAACATAATGGGTTTGCGACCAGCATGGACTCAGAACAGCCTGCGCATCCGCGCAGTCTGATCAGGATCCATATATAAAGATCATTTTACCTATTTTCTAATATAATAAATCACTTGAGATAAATTAAATACACATTCAGTTATACACGCATGTACAATTTAGTGTCTTTACTGAAACCATCCAGTTTAACTGAACTAATAAATAATAACAGTAAACTGAAACACACAATTTAATCCCAGATACAATAAGTTTCAAAAGAGTTATTTTCACAATAGCTTTCACAGTAACTATCCTTACATGTATATAATATTTTCATTATTTTCATCTCTCTGTAACACACACAAACAAAATTGCATTTGAGAAAAATGCTATGCCACCGCATTTAATACAACACTAAGCCTTGTACCTTCAGACAGTAAGATTTTTTGATTTTTTTTACTATATGTATATATTGAAAATCAATGACCCCCGGGGCGGGGGCAATTTTGACCCCAGGGCTATAATTTGAACAATCTTGCTAGAGCTTCACTACACCATGTTTCATGCAAAATATCTAACCTCTAGCATTTGTCAATTGCTAGAAGAAATCTTTTTAAAGTTTTTACTATATAAAATGCTGCGGTGGCATAAAAAAATTTACCTTTGCCTCTCTGATGGTTCTTCCAACAGCCTCTAAAGTAATATAAATATATGAAAATATATAAAATAATGATAATATCATGGCATGCTAATAAAATTTATTTACATAGTTTCATACTGACTTGATGCAGCAATGTAATAACATGTCTTTACAACAAATGAAGAAACAATTCAGATAAAATTAAAGGTTCTACTGATTATTGATTATTAACAATGAAAGAGACAGATTGCTGATATATCAAATCAGTTTTTAAAGATTGATTCAAATTACAGACAAATACATGTAAGTTTGACTCTTGCAAGCCACCTGAAAGGAAGAAAAAAATGCCAAAAAATAAGCCTGGTAATCAACAGTTTAGCTGAGGGATTCATCAGCATAAGCATTTACCCTTCATCATCTCAGTAATCACTTTTCTTTTTCTTTTTTACAGTAGTCTTGTGGTTGTATCTACATTTGTATGTGTCCACATAAGACTAAATTGAGACTAGTACTAGACAGAAAGGTACCCATGCATGTTCTTCCTATTTAAAAAGTTGTTCTCAAAATCATCATCTGACAGCTCTATTGGGTACAGTAGTGGTAAATCATGTCAGTTAAATTAATGTATTGGCTAGCCTTTACTGTGTGATTAAAATTGCAAAGTAACATACAACACACTAACCAGCCACAAATATGGTAGCTACTTCAGTCATCAATGCTAAACTTTCTGCAGTCACTGAAAAAAGAGGATATAATACAATGTACATATTTTTATCAAATGATTTGATGTCACATTGTTTTCATTTTCTTACTAAATAACAATATATATATATAGTGTATTATTGTATACATGTATGTATGATCAATACAGCATTATGAAATTTTATGTCAATACAGCATTACAAAATTTGTCTAAGTTTTATCATTTTGGAAAAAAACATAACAGTAGTTAAGGAATGCTCTATCAATGGTCCGTTCTCAATGCTTGATAGCAAAACAAGAGATTAACAAAAATGAAGATTTCATTGAAAAGTGCATTCATGCAGGTACGTATGTTAATATACGTACCTGATTCATGTAAAATTTATGAGACTCGGATATTGACCAAAAATTTTTGTAAGTTCACAAAGGGCCACATATCATAAAAATCTAAATGCATGCCAAGAAGTATGGGCCTTGGATAGTGACTTCCAATTATGATCCTGATGACTTATATCAAGTTTCAAATGGATGCCTAAGAACTGTAATGTTGGTGTTGCACCAATTCTTCCAAAGTTCACAAAGGGCTACATCGATCAGGCGCGTAGCTGCCTATACGCGAGTACGCAGCTGAATCCACATTATTTTACAAAAAAAAATTTTTTAGTAAAAAAAATGTGGTTTGAAATTCAGCCGCGTTCGCTTCTAAGATCTGATAATTACCACACTGAATACTTTATAAATCATATAGCCTAAATCGTACACCATACCGTAGTATTTTTTTGAAAAGTTGTCGGCCTTTGCAGCTCTTCAAAGTCGGAAGTTTGCACGCGCCGTATTTTCGAAATGTAAACAAATGTTTACATCGAGTTCTTAAAGAAGTCATCAGCAGAATCAGCGATAGAAAAGAGGTAATTATAACTAAAATGTTACTATGTATGCCTAGTGTTTATAATTTTATTTGTTTCGGTCCGTTTGTTGAGTAATGACATGTTTGACCATGTCTGTGAACCGATTCTAGCAAGACTGACAACATTTTGAACTAACCAACCTGAATCAGTGAATTCATGATGCAAATGTGAAAAATTCTGGTGCATTTGTCGTATTACTCTGCATTTTTGAAATAGTTCCTTCTTGGTAGATCATTAGTTATATTGATACATGGAATTTTTATGAAACTACATGAGATCAACGATGCTCACAGAACGGATGTCTGGACTAGCCATGTTGCACGCCTACAGACACATGGAAATAGATATTGATATTATCATTAACGAGTTTGCGGCCAGCAAAGGCCGCAAGTTAGACTTGCTGTGAAATGTAGACTAGTTGAAATAAACGAAAGTAAAGCTATTCATCTCCATTTTTATGCTAAAATAAATGGATTTTCGTTGGTCAAGAAAGCTCTCCGGAGGCCCCAAAATGCACCAAATTGCACCATTTATTTCAAAATTTTCAGGGGGGGGGCATGCCCCCTGATCCCCCTAGATTATTTTGAATCCACATTCTTTATAGGCTAGCTACGCGCCTGTCGATGTATACAGAACTGGCATAAAATTTTATTATGTTCATTATGGGGCATAATTGAGTCAAAATACATGCCAAGTTGAATTTTGAAAAGAGATCTTAAATAAACGCTTTAACAGTAGTCCTACATAGGCTAAATTAATGAATTTGCTCCAACAATGGCAACATATAAAACAAAGACTTACTTTTAGTTTTATCATCTTTGAAATACAGCTGAAGTAATTGCTGAACAGTTTTCTAAATAAAATAAAAAAAATCATTAATTTTATCATAAATTTATGTTGTAATAAAAATTATATTCACTAAGTAAAGCATTACCAAAGTAATCATCCGAAAACTTTTATATCCGAAATTGTTCAAGTTAGAGCCATAGATGTTTTTTAGAATCCGATACAGGAATACCTTACACATTATTAAATTTCAAAGAAGAATTGTTTTTGATAATACGTTAATGATATTTTATCATATTTCTAGCACACCTCGACTGATATCTCAGTAATTGTCAATTACCTGTTTGAACCTTTCCGCCATTTTTCACACAAAAACGAATTAATGTATGAATCGATGTCGTCGAGTTTTGGGTTGCGGTCATAAACCCCAACAAGCAATCTAAACTGCGGTGTTTTCTCATATTACAAGCGTATTAATATTATATATTTATGATTGTGATAATATTTCTTTCATTTCTTGTTCAATCAAATCATCATATCAAACGCACTTTTTTCAATATGTCAAATTCTCAAACCAAAGTATTTGACAATAATTGGTGCAACAGGAGGCTTGCTGACACTAATACGGGCTGATTTACCTATTAAACGCCGTACAGATTTAGAAAATCAAGGTCTGGAAAATTTATGTTTTGAATTGAATTTGTTAAAAAGAAAATGGGGAATTATTTTTATATATAGACCACCTTCAATGTCTGACCATCTTTTTGAATCAAGGCTATCTGAAACATTAGACAAATTATTCATTAAATTTGACCATGTAATTATAACTGGGGACTTAAACTATGATATGCTAAATCCTACCAAAAGTAAACTCCTTACAAACATCATGGATAGTTTCAACTTGGTAAATCTAATTGACAAACCAACATGTTTTAAGAATATAGACAACCCAACCCCCTTATTGATGTAATTTTAACAAACTCGTCCTCTTTGCTATGTAAATTTTCATCAGTTATCAGTAGCAGCATAAGTGACTGCCATAGTATGATATTTACAACTCTGAAAGAACAGGTTAATACCGTATCTAAAAAGAGAATACCTTTTAGGAGTTACAAAAATTTTGATGAAAATGTTTTTAACAATGAACTAGACAAAGTACCGTTCCAAGTAGCATTTACTTTTGATGATGTTGATGACACTTACTGGGCATTCATTTGAATGACAAAGATTTTGACTGGACATGACTATCAATGCACTATCATGCACTATCATGTCATGAATTATGACATTGAAGTATGAACTTGACCTTTAGGCTGCATAACTAAATTTTGTTTACTACATGTCATCTTAATAAGCAGCATATTTATGAATATTTATTTCTAAGTCCATCCATGAATAACAAAGCTACATGTAGTCTGATTATTAATTAAAGTAAAATTTAACGTCAAACAAATTGCAACACAAGCTTTTTTTACATTTTTAGTTTGTTATATACATCATATAAAACAGGTAAAAACCCTAAAAAAATCTAACCATGGCAAACCAGTAAAAAAAGCAATTCAAATTTTGCATTTGTTTCGAGTTTTTATATGGCTCTGCATGTACACCATACATAGAGTTTTATACTGTAACCGGTGTCGAGGTAAACAAAAGTTATGAGGCCGCGCGATTTAAATATATCAAAATTAACACATTTACTACTTGGAGTTGGATTTGAAGCTGTTGTGCAAAGTATGTATAAATTTTCATATTATATTTACTTGTTTTTACAACTTTTAGCCTCGTACATGCCCAAATATCAAATACAATGAATGAATTGTAATGGGTTTTCGCGTGTATATAAATCAGCGTTTGTCGTTTAAAACAGTAAAGTTTTTTTTAAATTTTCATGACATATAAATAATCATTAGCCAATGTATTAACATTCGTTTTAATAATAAGATGTTTATGAAGTAGGAAAAATAAACAAATTTAAGTTTATCCTTGGTAGCTTCAAAATGTAACTACGGAAGCGTGTTTGGGTAAACAATGCACGAAATCTAGAATAAATTGTTATTAATTTTAGAAACATAAATGCATGATATTTATTAACAGATCATTAGTTTTTGGTATGAAAATGTCATTGTGTATGATAGCTACTATGTTTTCATTTTAATAACATTTGGAAGATAAGAATTGAAAGGTAATACTGAGCGTGATACGAGTATATTATCTTTTTTACATACTAGTGATATATGAGTTGTCAGGGGAGTCAAAAACAGATACAGAATTTACAATGATTATGTAATTTCAAAATTGTGATTCCAAAAAAGGGAGAAAACTTATTTTACAGTCACAGTAAGCAGTTCAAATTGCTGTTGAGCTCCATGGTTTAACCAGAGGCTATCTGTGTCTCTTGTTTAACTAAATTGTGCTACAAATATTGATGAGGAGCTATATTCAGAGTTAACTGTTGCTTTGCCAGTGGTAATAGATCCCCATTTTGAGTGTTAAATTTGTTGTACAATTTTACAAACACATGAGATAAGATAGTTTCAATACAAACGTAATGAATCAGAGATGTTTGTGCTAATATGGATATCTGTATGCCCATCTACACCGTCTGTCTTTCTGTTTAAAAACATGTCTATCTGCCTTTCTGTCCGTCTGTTTTTTGTCTTTACCAAAAAATAAAATTTGATAGTTGTAAAACTTGATTCTGAGATACTGTTAACATCTGCCTATCTTTAATAGGGTTTGTCTATCTGTTTGCTTTCCTTTCAATATATATGCTGTCCGTCCTATATTTATGAAAACTACAGCATAATATGGTCTGTGAATCATATTGAAAGTATTGGCCTAAACGAACAGATAACTCATTTATATGAAGTGATTGATAAATAGTTCGGGTGCTTTTTTTGATAAGCCAAAACTGTAAGCCCTGTCATACCTACAACCATGTGACCACAGGCGAAATGCCTCCTTTTATTTAATTCTGTTTCTCTCGTCAATAACAGTTACAGATGTAATTTAAATATCTGGTAAAAAGTGATCCCTCAGATGCATTAAAAAGCAAATTTACATGAAAATTGCAGAGCCGGTTTGATTGAGTCTGTATATGACGGATAATGAAAAAGTGCAACATCCCTCATGCCCCCTAGCACCGGATTGAGCGGTACTAAATTCTCAACACTTAAAAGTGCTGGATTCAATGATCCCGAAAGACCAGAAAAATATAACAACACTGAAGTGAAGTACGGGGTAACTTTTTACGGCTGCCACACAGCACTTCACATCTGCTGTTGTTGTGATGTAAAATAAGTGATCCCTCGGAAGCATTAAAAACAGCAAATTTACTGAAAATTACAGGCATGGTTTGATTGAGTCTGTGATCATGAAAGCTGTGTTTGACGTTGAACATACATTTTGCTCTATATTGCACCCACATTTATGCATTTCTCTGAAGAAATTTCTCCACTTTTGGGTAAAATTTATTTGATGAATAGTATTATTTTTTTAAGACCAGACAATGTTTTTTTTTAATCTCTTTTTAATTCCATTTTAGATGACTGGATGTAAAGCCGAAATGATAGAAAAGAGTATTGTTATCATTACGACGAGAAGAAAACATAAATAGGTTTAACAAGATGTGATGGCATTCAATTTCAAAGGTGAAATATTTTTTAAAGCAGCCTAAATGATACATGACATAAAATTGGCATTTTGTACATATAAAATTCTAATTTTGAACCATTACTAAAGACATAACAACAGCTCATTTTCAGCATTTATTCTTCACTAAATTAAGTGTTGTGCAATATAGATAGTTGGACAATACTGGCGATGATAAATGAAGTTATTTCTACTAAATCATGTTAAAAGTGATAGTTTGCATAACATTTATGGGTAATATTTGGATGGATGAGACTTTGGTAACGTACACATATGTTAAATGACACAGCAAAAGACTAAGTAACGAGTTACTTTCAGAAATTGAGTATATTACCAGGTGCATTGTTTGTTCCTACAGATTTTAGGAAAAATAACTAAGTTTGTTTTCTTTATTTTCATAAATTTTTCAAAAATAGTTAAGAAATGCTGTAGAATAATGTCAATGTAATTGATGTAACGTATGTTACATTTTGCTTTTTAAAATGTCTTAAGTGATTATGTTTCTTTATTTATATAAGCTTAATAAGCAAATATTATTTGAATCTCTTTTCAATTGTAAATACATGTATTAGGTATTTTTAAGATAATGCAATTTGAACGTTTTGCATTATTATTATGAGTGGGTGGGGTAATAATCTTGTGTGTCACAAGTGAATAAATAATAAAAAAGAGGCCAAACCTGTTATTATTCATTGCAAATTCTATTTTTTTTGAACACCAATACATGCTGGCTAAAAACCTACCAATCTATAACAGGGAAAGACAAGACAGTCGCCACATATTAAACATATTACGATATTATATTACGATTTGTATGCCTGGACAGGTACTCTTAAACTACCTGCCAAAGAATCCGGGTCAGCTCGGCCCTAAAACGTACTCGGCCCCCGAGTCAGCTCGGCCCTATTCCAACTCGGCACGGGTCAACTCGGCCCACTTTTCAATTATTAATATTTAGGGTTGTGTTAACAATATTTATTGTAATTATTGTAATTATTTATAATACACGGATTGACAGTTTCGAACTAGCAGCAGACAAGCTTTTCTTATCAGTAGAATTGCGAGTAAAGATAAACGATTGCGTATCTCACTGTATTTCTACATATTTAACTTCTGTTCTCTTCTTTATTACTTTAACTAGATAATGCACAGACAAGGTCTTTCTATTTGATAGAAGAAAAAAAAACGTATGACACGTGTAAATGAATTTCGGCAACAATCAATGCGCTTATACGGAAGATTTAATTAGAAGCTTATGATATTAAGTAAACACGTTTTTGTTTCATTTTTTTTTTAATATTATTTTACAAACACATTTTATTAGAATCTAGATCTATATAAATTTTATCGAATCTGCAAGACAGATAAATAACTTTTTTTTCTAAATATACTTTATTTCAGAAGAAGTACAATGTATAATTATATAATAATAAGATATTTCTTATTATTCATTTACCTTAACAACATGCATAGCAAAGTTAATACGTTATACATATTTTTGTGAAGTGGGCCGAGTTGACCCGTGCCGAGTTGACCCGTGCCGAGTTGGTATAGGGCCGAGTTGACTCTTTTCCCTGCCAAAAGTCAAGTTTCTGAAGGTATATTTTTTTAGAGTTTTACTACAAGGTCCATGCATATATATTGATTGCAAAATACTAAAGAAAGCTTGTGTTGCAATTTGTTTGATGTCAAGCTACATATACTCATAACTTTAGTGGCCTAATGTATACAATAGAAGAACATGCACAATCATGACAT